CAGCCTCCCCGCCACCTCAACACCACCTGTCTCTCCACCTATTTTTGTGTCATCTGCAAACTTAACAATGCCCTCAGTTCCTTTGTTCATATTGTTACTGTGTGAATAGTTGTGGTCCCAACACTGACCCTGGCAGAACTCCATTAGTCACTGCCACCATGAAAAGATGCCTTTATCCCCGTTCTCTACATTCGGCCAGTCAGTCAATCTCTACCCATGCCAGTATCTTGCCTCGAACACCATGGGCTTTTATTTTATTTAGTGACACCTTGTTGAAGGCCTTCTGGAAATCTAAATAGATCATGGCTCTCCTTTATCTAAATTGAACATCATCTTCTCAAAGAATCGTAATGGATTTGTTAGGTATGACCTCCCCTTGATAAAGCCTTGCTGACTCAGCCCTATTTTACCATGCACTTCCAAGTACTCCACAATCTCATCTGGAATAACAGACTCTCTAAAATCCTACTAATGATAGGGGACATGCAAAACAGATTACAATTTCCTGTCTTCTTAAACTGGGATGTGACTGGCCATTTTCCAGTCCTGTCAGACCCTCCCTGACTCCACTGATTCCTGAAAGCTTACCACCAAAATGTTCTCACAACCTCCTCAGCCAACTCCTTCAGAACCCTGGGGTGCAGTTCATCTGGTCCAGCCCATGTATGCGTTTTCTGACATTTCCAATTCCCCAGCACCTTCTCCTTAGTGATGGCTACTTCTCACCTCTGCCCCCTGACTAAGTTCTGATATGCTCTCAATGTCTACTACCATAAAGACTGACGCAAAGTACATAATCAGATCCTCCGTCATTTCCTTGCTTGCCATTACTACTTCTCCAATCTCATTTTCCAGCAGTCCAATATCCACTCTTAGCTCTCTCATTTTATGTATCTAAAACAACTCCTGCAATTTTTTAATATCACCAGCCAGCTCACCCTCATATTTCATCTTCTCCACTCATTTGCTTTTTTAAAAAAAAAAAATCCTCTGCTGATTTTTAAAGGCTTTCCACTAATCTTCACCAAACTGCATGCTTTTTTTAAGCTGTGACTTTGTCAGCCAGGGTTGCCGCATCTTCCCTTTATTGTATTTGTTCTTCCTTGGGATGAACTTCAGCTATGCCTCCTGAATTACCCCAGAAACTCCTGCCATTGCTGCTCCACTGTCTTCCCTACCAGGTTCCCCTCCCAATCAACTCTGGCCAGACCCTCATGTCTTTGTAGTTACTTTTATTCAATTGTAATACCATTACATCTGAACACAGCTTCTCCCTCTCAACTACAGAGTGAATTTTACCATATTATGGTCACTGTCTCCTAGGGGTCCCTTCACCTTAAGATCCCTAATCAAACTGCCTCATTACACATCACCAAATCCAGAACTGCCTGCCCACATACTCTCCATAAACCATCATGTAGACATTCAACTAATTCCTGGTCTGGAGTTATGCTACCAACCTGATTTTCCCAGTCAACCTGCCTATTCAATTCCCCCATGATTAATGCAATAGTGCCTTGCTTACATGCCTTTGCTATCTCGATTTATTTCCTTCCCATTTCCTTACTATTGCCAGGAGGCCTCTACGTAACTCCCATCAGGGTCTTTTCTCCTTTGCAGTTCCTCAACTCTACCCACACAGATTCTACACCTTCTGAGTCGATAATTACTTCTCGCTATCGATTTAATTTAATTTCTTACATACAAGGCAACCTCACCCCTCTACTCGTCCTTTACATAAGGCAAATATCCTTCGATATTTAGTTCCCAGCCCTGATCATTTTACAACCACTTCTCTATGATGCCCACAATATCGTACACACCACTTCATTTACCTTGTTTTGCATACTGTATGCATTTGAATACAGCATTCTCAGTCCTGCATTGACTGCCCCTATCCCTCTCCCCAAGGTTGTCCCCTTATCTGCTCTGCCTCAGCACAGATTCCTGACTCTTTATATACTCTGTCCCATTACTTGTTCTGGAACCTTAAAGTCTTGTGACCACTCCATTTATCCTTTCCATTAGGATCCCGATACCCAACTGGTTCAGGTGGAACCCATCCCAATGGTACAGACCTGTCCTGACCCAATATTGATGCCAATGCCCCACAAAATGGAACGATTCTTTCCCTCACCAATTCCTTTAGCCATGTGTTCAACCTCCCTAATCTTCTCTTTGGCAGTTTGCATGTGGAGCAGGTAACAATAGAGAGATTATAATCTTTTGGAGGTCCTATTTATTAAGTTTTGTTCCCAATTCCGGATATTCCCCAAATACAAAAAAGGATGCCTTGCCTATGTTGTTGCCAACATGGACAACAACTAGATCCTTCCCATTCCTCTCCAGTAGTCTTTTGAACTGACTTGAGTGGCAGGAGACAAAGGGTGATGTTTGAGGGGTGTTTTTCCAACTGGAAGTCTATGTCAAGTTGGGTCCCACAGGGGTGAGTGGTGGGGCCCTTGCTATTTGTAGTTTTATATAAATAATTCAGACTTGAATATAGGAGGACTGATGGTAGATGATACAAAAATTTGTGGTAAATAGGAGGAGATCAGTGGCAAATGAAATTCAATCTGGATAAATTTCAAGTGATGCACTTGGGCAGGACAAACAAAGCACAGGAACACATGATGAATGGTAGGACCCTCAGAGTGGGCCACTTATAGGTATTGTCCCTTAAGAAATCAGGACAGGTGGATAATGTGGTTCGGAAGTCATATGGTATACTTGCCGTTATTAGCCAAGGCATAGCATTTAAGAGCAGGGAGGTTATGCTGAAACTGTATAAAATATTGGTTAGGTCACAGTCTGGAGGACTGCGTGCAGTTCTGGAATCCACATTATCAGAATGATGTGATAGCACTGGAGAAGGTACAGAGCAGGTTTACCAGGATATTGCCTGGCCTGGAGAGTTTCAGATATGAAGAGTGATTGGATAGACTGCGATTGTTTTCCTTAAGAGCAGAGGAGACTGAGGGGGACATGAGTGAGATGTATAAAATTATGACAGGCATAGACAGGGTAAGACAGGAAGATACATCTCCCCTTGGAGAGGAAAACAAACAAACAAACAAACAGGGGGCAGAAAGCTTAGAGGGTGGTGAGAATCTAGAATTCACTGCTGCAACGGTGGTAAAGGCAGAAACCCTCAAAACACTTTTGCATTCAGATGTACACTTGTGATGCCAAGGCATACAAAGCCATGGACCAAGTGCTGGAAAATGAGATTAGAATAGTTAGGTGATTGATTTTGCATGGCACAGGCATAAAAAGGGCATTCCATTTTATGCCCTGTGCATCTCTACAACTCTGACTACATCTCACACTCACCTCCCTCATCCAAGTTACTATAGTAAATAAATTATAGCCCCTGTACTGATCCTTGTGGCACTGAAAGAAAACATTTGCTGTTGTGATTGAGCATATGCAGGGTATACCAAACACTTAAAATTACTTCCTAAAAACTTGTAACTGTAAATGATAAACCAACAGATGGGGAAGGAGTGCTAAAAGGATCAAAAATCTCTTGCTGCTAGGACCAAACGATCAAAGTTCAAGCAATGTGTTGGATCTTCTTGATTACTGCTTTTCTGTTCTTTTTAATTAACCTGTCATACTGTACATTATATGACACAATCTAAGACTGTTTATTCTTCCACTTCCATAATTTAGTCAAATGCAAACTGACTAAATAAGGCAAAGGTTTCCCATTGCACTCAGTCACTACACCACTAGATTATAGCCACAGATGTGAGCAAGGGTTTGCTTACAGTAATGTCTGTGACATACAGTAAAGTCTAAAAAACAAATACGAAAGGTTTCTCCACGATATTTCTGAAATAAAATAGCCAAACAACACAGGTAACAATATGAAGGGAATGATAATTACTCACAAAAATAACAAAATAAACCTTCTCGGAGTGAAAAAAAAAACAGCTGATCATCAATTTTTATCACCTCATTCCATGGACACCTGTCATTTGTGGCGTGGCTTACACGACGTAACAGGCTACAAAGCAAAGTCAAACAGAATTGCAGGCACAGTACATCTCTACCCGATGAGTTCAATGCATTTTATGCTCGCTTTGAACAGAAGGGCAGTGAAATGATGTCACCTGTCACATCAACCTCAGATGCACCCGTAACCATGGTCACTGCTGCGCTGCAGATGTTAGACTGACCTTAAGGGCAAACGCACGGAAAGCAACTAGCCAGATGGAAGCCCCAGACGTGCACACAGATTCTGTGCGGACCAGCTGGTGGGAGTATTCGCAGATATCTCCAACCTTTCCTTATCATGATCTAAAACCCCAACCTGCTTCGAGAAGACTATCACCCCAGTGTCAAAGAAAAATCATGCAGTGTGCCTCAATGACTAACACCCAGTGGCTCTGACATCAATAACGATGAAGTGCTTTAAGAGGGTAGTCATAGTTCACATCAACTCCACCCTACCAGATTGCCTTGATAGTTTGCAATTCATCTACTGGCGCAATAGGCAGACGCCATCTCTCTGGTCCTACACTCATCCCTGGAACATCTGGTCAACAAGAAAACTTATGTCAGGCTCCTATTTATTGACTACAGCTCCACCTTCAACACTATAATTCCAAACTCATCCCCAAACTCCAGGTCCTAGGTTTCAGTCCCTGCTTCTACAAATGGATTCTCGACTTCCTGACCAATAGACTGCAGTCAATAAAGATACACGACAACACCTCCATGATAATCCTCAATACTGGTGCCTCGCAAGGCTGCGTACTTGGCCCCTACTCCTTATACACTCATGACTGTGGGACTAAATTCCGCACCAACTCCATTTACAAGTTTACTGACAACACCATCAGCATCGGTCAGATCTCAAACAACAACAAGGTGGTGTACAGGAAGGACAGAGTACTTAACAGCACAGACAACTAACTCTCGATCAACAATCAGCAAAACAAAGGAGATGGTCATTGACTTCAGGAAACGCAGTGTAGGGCATGCCCATCTGCAATGGTGTGACGTGGAGATGGCCAAGAGCATCAAGTTCCTGGGAGTGACGATCACCAACAATTTGTCTTGGTCCACCCAGGTCAATGGTCAAGAAAACACAGCAGCGCCTCTACTGCCTCAGGAGGCTGAGGAAATTCAGCATAAAGTCTCTTACAAGACTGAAAGAAACTACAGAGACTTGTGAACGCAGGCTAGTCCATCACACAAACCAACTTCCCATCTATTGATTTCATCTGTATTTCCCACTGCATCAGGAAATCAAACATAATCAAAGACTCCGCCCAACCCAATAATACTCTTCTACCCTCTTCCATTGGGCAGAAGATAGCTGTAACACTATCCTGCACTCTGTTGTTACCCTGATGTACTTGTACAGTACGATCTGCCTGTAAAGCATGCAAGACAACACTTTTCACTGTTTCTCAATACACATTAAAGTAATAAATCAAAATCATTCCTGCTATATTACTGCTGAGCTGTCAACATCAACATGTCACCGAGATGACATCCATAATCAGTGAGCAACTATTTACAAACTAATAGAGTTTAGAGTCATGCTCTTAAAGAGTAACATTTCAAAATAAGTCACACTTCTAAAAAAAAGCTACAAAAGGCCTAAACTTCTAAATATTCACTTGTAGCTCTTTGTTCCTAAGTTACTTCAATATAAACAGGAGCAGTCCATCATTCAGCCACTGGAACATTATTCACCAATGAAATCATGGTTGATCATCTGCCTCAACACAATTTTCCATCCACTCCCTATACTCTTTTATTCCATGAAATCAAAAATGTATTGAGCAATGGAGCATGCACAACCTCCCCAACCTTAAAAATCACATTTGAGATGATCAGATCTTCAGTGAGGCTACAGGATGAGCTGGAACATGCCTCAGCTCTAAATCCAGAGTTGGTCATATTGCAGGCAGTAAGAACGATGCTCTAACAGTTATTTGCATTCATCTAATAGGGATATCCTGGCATGGAATTAGGGTTCTATAGTTCACAGAACAAAAATGCGAAAAGACAATTATTAATGCATGAAAAATTCAGAGTAAAAATACATCTGATAAAGTAGTATAATTTATCACTATTTCCCAAGCTTGTGGATGACCCAAGGATCAGTTGAGAGAAGCAAATTCCAGGAAAATAAATGCAATGTAAATCCAGGCCCTTGCCAAAAGTAGGCTTCTACAAAGGACTGATTTACATCAAGCTATATTCCAACTCATATCCAGGCTAATTCCACCAGGACCTCAGAATAATGTTCTACCTTCAAGGTGCAATTCTTCTCAACTGTACATCACTGTTGGTTCCAAATAAGTAATTTGATTGCAAGAGCTTTCTATTGGTCTTTGAGCAAATCAACATTTCAAATAACAGAGAGTTGAATGGAAAAGTGCTACTCTATACACAGAGGACAGACAGATCACCTTGTGCCCTCTTCTCCTGAGTTCTGGCAGCATTCGGTCCAAAATGAGGAATTTTCCTGAGCTTTTCACCAACTCTTCATCTATCTACAGAAAACAGATTTAAAATGTATCTGAAGAATGTATGAGCAAAACTCAACTTTACACAGTGATTTAGGAATTCAAATACACAATCTTTAAAAACGGAAAATACAGCTAATGTAGTTATTAAGAAAAGTAATTCAACCACTAGTTTTATAAATAGGTGCGTAAAATACAAAGCAGTCAATGCTAAACATATATAGATCATTGGATGGTTGGGTGGCCTAGTGAAAATAGCATGCCCAGTTTCTGGGTCCTTAGTGTAGAAGGGACTTTAAAAAGGCCCCTGGTGAGTGTTGAGCCAGGTAACACCCAGAATGCCTGCTGGGCCTGCGTGTGGGGTGGGAGTCGGGCGTTAAAGGGATGCGTTTAAATAGAATGGAGAAAAGTCTAGAGATGATTTCACAGATCGGATGTTTGTTTGTAGTTATTGTTTCATGGGATGTGGGCATTGCTGGCAAAGCTAGAATTTGTTGCCTTTGAACTAGGCAATTTCAGAGGGTAGTTAACATTATGGGTGCAGAGTCACAGGTGGACCTGCTCAAGTAAGGTAACAGATATCCTTCCACATTGGATATTTGTGAATCTGATGAGCTTTTAATGATAATTGACACAGTTGTTTCCTGTTCATCACTGAGGCAAGCTTTAATTCCAGAATGATTAACTGAAATGAATTCCACTAGCTACCAATAGCAGGTTGCAGGGGGTGGGGTGTGTGGTGGTTGAGCCCATGTCCCGAGACCTGGTCCAATGACATCACCATCTGAAGGGTACTGCTAAGATTAAAAGGAAAGACATTTCCACTAGCCACACAGGGTAGATGACTACATGGTAAAAATTTAACACTTGTTGCAAAAAAAAAAGGAAGTGAAAAATAAGGGGGATGATTATTAGGACAGGAATTGTCCTATAGAAACAAAGGGGAGAAATAACCCTTCACTTTTGAAGAGGGAGACATTTTTAAAAAATATATTTAAAAAGGGCTTGGATAAGACAGCAGAGGAATGGACGAGAACAAAAAAAGGTTCAATTTTACAATTGAGCATTTTCCCCCCACAGGGCAATTGCATAAACAATAATAGCTGTTATTGGTAAACTGGTAGTTAATCATTAACATCAATTCTTAATGAAATTTTCTCCATATATTCAGGTTTGATTGGCAAAAATCAGAAAAAAACACTCCCTTCAAATTTGACAAGAAAACCCAAAAATTTTGTTTATTCTTGAAATTGGGTTCTGACATGCAGAAAGTCACAGCCATAAAGCTAGATTGCACATCCCGAAATTGGGTCTGATGTGTATGTATCTCTACACAGGAACGAATGGATTCATATTTGTTGCTACATGGACGATGCTCTTTATAAAAAGGGCACCGATTTTCTCTACATTTTCCTAGCAAGATATTCCAGCAAGAACTGAACAAGCAGCTAACATAGCAACGGACTCCTGAAAATGGATCTCATCAATAAAGGGCTGACTTGGGATAGACACTACAGTAAGTTTTGTCAAAAACAAAATCTTCAGCACCCACAATTCTTTGTTTAAATTCACCGTATCTTCTAGACATTAATCAAAAATGATCACCCCACTATCACAGTGACAGGAGCCATCACAAAAAAGACTTTTTTCAAATTTTACTTGTAATTTTAAAAGAACGTTAGCTAAGGATTTAAAACTTTTTATAAAGCTTTAAACAAACCAATTGTTAAATTTGTCTAACGTTTTAAAAAGAAACAAAATAAAATGAATCCATTTCTTTGATGTTCAAAGTGAAAATTCTTGGGACCATTTACTGGTTGTTAAAGTACACATAGATGGAGGTAACTCAACCTTGGTGTCCCTAACAGTCAAATATTCTAAGTGATACAACCCACCACACAGAGGCATAGGATGGCGTTTGGGTTTCCAGTGGATACAAAATGCTGACAGAGTCAATTGAGAAAGTTATGGAAATCATACAGTTTTCACCTTAAACTCCTGGGTTTTGGGGTCCAGTGGGTATTCAATTAAGTAAGGATGGTTACAACACTTTCTGAGGAGCATCAATACATTCTGCAATTTCAGGTGAACTTCCTTATCTTGTGGGATAAATACATCCAGTACAGGCCTGAAGAGAAAACACAACAATGTGCAAGTTACTTTCAGGTCACCTACTAAAATAAACTTTTCACTGTGTCAGCCCTGGTTCAGTGGTGACAACTACTTCCAGCCATGCTCCAGAGACTTCAGCTCGTCAAAATAGGACCAGCATGATAGTACAGTACTGTAAGAATACCGGATTCTCACAGAAGTCACCTTTCAGATGCTACATTAAGTTTCAGTGGAATGTCAAAGATCACATCACAATTTTCAACAGCAGGGGAGCTTCCCATTGGTCAATATTTATTAAACACTGAAAACAAAGCTAATTTTTTTTAGTAATAGGTGTGGAAAAATGCTGTGTGTACAGTCTGACTGCTGTATTTTCCTTCATTACTGCAGTAAATACATTTCAAAATAACAACATCAATGGCTGGGAAGCATGGACCTAAAGATAGAATGGCTACTTAATGCTAGAGATTCCAGTCCAACCATTACAGTTGGGTCCTGGAAAAGAGGTGATGCACGTCAAAGGTTGCTGCAAAACAAGGTACTACCAAAAACGTTTACAATAAGCAACTCAGGCTGTTGCACACTTATACCATATCTGTCATGTTATATGACAATCACCCATAGATTCAGAGAGGGTATCTCAAACTGTCAACACTTCAGCTCAATGGTCTTTCTGATACAAGATCATTGACCTGAAATGTGAAAACACTATGATACTGTCAGGCCTGCTGAGTACTTCAAGCCTTTCCTACTTGTATGTCAGAATTTCAGCATCTACAGAACTTGTTTGCCATAAGCTGTAATATACTACTTGGGTACTGAAAAAGGTGCAGATCCTAAATGATTTAGCAGATTCCAGTGAGCACAGCTGTAACTGGTCACATTATCGTTGGACGGGAGAGAGAGAACAGAGCCAATGCTCTTACTTCCAGTCACTATCCAGTAAGTGGGCCATTTATGGGCTTAGAAGATTCTACCTCAACCATCACTTACAAAAACAAACTCAAGGGCTGAAGAGATATCTAACATTTTGAAAAGTTAGAAGGTTATTGATGTCAAAGTATCAATGCATGAAAATAGACCACTGTGAAAATGACAAGGTACAAAAAAGGTGAAGAGACACTTCCTACCAACCAGAAGTGTAGCTTCTCCACCTTTCACACCTGAACACAGTAAGCCTCACTGTATCATAATTCAATAGGTGCTGGCAGCTCTCCCAAAGACCCACCAAGTTGCTGCTGCCTAGATTGAGGAAAGTCATTTCACGATGAACACATCAGTCAAGTTTGCTCCTGCCCTTTTCCAAGATCCAAACAAACATTTTCCAGCAGAAGTCACTGGACAGCAACAGCCAGCTGCAAAACCTCAAGGTGTTTCCTCAATCTAATTGATGCTCTGAAATTACAAAACTGGAAGAAATATATTTTTTGTTAAGAGCTTCTAGCCCTCTGGAGGAAGTTTCAAGCCAACCCACATCCAACCAAGGGTCAAAATGTGGGGATCCTGAAGGAATGAAAACATCAGAACCACAGAACGTGGTTAACTCTTAACTGTTCCTCTGGGTGATCAGGGATGGACAATAAGTGTCGTAGCCGACAACATACATCGCCCATGAACAAATTGAAACAAAAATAAACAATCAGATTAGGCATTTACCTGGTCCATTTTAGGCTCCAAAACATCATTGTTAAAGAACAGAAATCCATTACACGAAGACTAAAATTAGTAGAAACAAAACCAGCAAAATATGATGGTAAGATATTGGTGAGCTGGTAAGGCACTAAATCAGGGCTTCACAAAAGTTAAGGTTGGAAGCTGAGAATGTGGAGTCTTGAATTTTGCAATGGCTAACTCCCCTCGCTCTATTTTAGATCCTTCTCCACTCCAAAACGTACACTGATGAGTCACACCATTTTTCAAGCTTGGAAACAAGGTCACAGAGAGGCAAGAAAAGATCAGGAGGCACTACACTAAACTGTCTGCGGCATGAAATACTACTTTTAAAGTGAAGGCCAACTGATTTCATTCAGATTCACAAAGGAGTTCCATCACCACAGGATTACACAGAAACTATTTCTTTTTTCAGTTTCTTCCCCAAGGCTTCCTGGAGAAGAAAGTTTGACAGTAGAACTCATCGTCCAGAATAACTGCTCCTTAACCTCCAATCTCAGTTTCCCTCCCAGCTCTCCCAATCATGGTTTCTGTCTCTGGAAGATCTGCATGAAGATGGAAAGAACTTACTATTGGAGGAGAAGGAGGAGTGACAGCAGTACAGACAGAATCATGATGCTCTGCCAATCACACACATTCTTAAATTCTGCCTCTCCTGTGCTCACAGGTCCTCTATCAAATTCCACTTCATTTTCTCGCTCTCAAATGAGATAACAATACCTGCAATCATTTAACCCTGTTTACATCATGGATCTTCCATAGTCTAAGGCAATATGTACAAAGGCAAATATGCTGAATTTTAGGGCTGAGGGCGTGAGGGCTAATTTACTCGTTGCCCCCATAAAAGCTTTGAATCACACATCTAACAATCCTGTTCTGAGAATTCAGTTCATATCTGACAGCTGTGTCAAATTCCACAGTAACTGACACATCCACAACAAATCTAAAAAAAAATTGTCAAATTACCTTATTTCCCAAAGTGAACAAATCCTTTAAAAGAAATCCAAGATTTGGATTCTTGATTAAAAACAAAACTTTTGTTCTTTCTTGGTTCATATTTTGTGGAATCCAGTATTCATAGATTTTCAGGAATATTTTTCACATGATTAGGAACAAAATACTACTTCCCGCTTTCAGTAGGGAGGTAACTAACTTGAGACAATGTCTTACTGCAGAATCTTGACACGTCAGTACAACACAAGGCAGTGCTTGTAACTACTGTGACACCAACTCTATCCATTCTTAGGTCAGGCCCTTTACCTAAATTCCAACATATCTTGAAGGAGCGATCACAGTATGGTCGAATTTAAAATACAGATGGAGCGTGAGAAGGTTAAATCCAGTACCTATGTCCTGTGCTTAAACAAAGGAGACTATGAAGGAATGAGGGAGGAGTTAGCTAAGGTAGAATGGGAGCAAAAACTTTATGGTGGGTCAATTGAGGAACAGTGGAGGACTTTCAAAACGATTTTTCACAGTGCTCAGCAGAAGTATATTCCAGTGATAAGGAAGAACTGTAGGAAAAGAGAGAGCCAGCCGTGGATGTCTAAGGAATTAAAGGAAAGTATCAGATTGAAAAAAAAAGCAAAGAGTAGTGGGAAACTAGTAGACTGGGACATCTTTAAAGGCCAATAGAAAGCCACAAAAAAAGTTATAAAGAAAAGTAAGATAGGTTATGAGAGTAAACTAGCTCAGAATATAAAAAACAGGCAGCAAAAGTTTCTATAAATATGTAAATAGTAAAAGAGTGGCGAAGGTAAACATTGGTCCTTTAGAGGATGAGAAGGCCAATTTAATAACTGGGAATGAAGAAATAGCCAAGACATTAAACAGTTATTTCATGTCGGTCTTCACGGTGGAAGACACAAATAACATGCCGAAAACTAATGGCAAGGAAGTTTATAGCAAGTGAGGGCCTAGAAACTATCATTATCACTAAGGAGGCAGTGCTGGGCAAGCTAATGGGGCTAAAGGTAGACAAGTCTCCTGGCCCTGATGAAATGCATCCCAGGGTACTAAAAGAGGTGATGGGGGAAAATAGCAAATGCACTAGTAACTATCTACCAAAATTCACTGGACTCTGGGGTGGTTCCCGCAGATTGGAAAACAGCCAATGTGACGCCACTGTTTAAAAAAGGAAGTAGACAAAAAGCAGGTAACTATAGGCCAGTTAGCTTAACTTCGGTAGTGGGGAAAATGCTTGAATCTATCATTAAGGAAGAAATAGCAAGACACCTGGATATAAATTGTCCCATTGGGAACACCCAGCATGGGTTCACGAAGGGTAGGTCATGTTTAACTAATTTGGTGGAATTCTTTGAGGACATTACTTGCATGGTGGACAATGGGGAACCTGTGTATGTGGTGTATCTGGACTTCCAGAAGGCATTTGACAAGGTGCCACACCAAAGGCTGCTACATAAGATAAAGTTGCACGGTATTACAGGTAATGTGTCGGCATGGATAGAGGATTGGTTGACCAGTAAAAAGCAAAGAGTAGGGGTAAATGGGTGTTTTTCTGGTTGGTGGTGAGTGGCTAGTGGTGTGCCTCAGGGATCAGTGTTGGGACCGCAATTGTTTACAATTTACATAGATGATTTGGAGTTGGGGACTAAGTGTGGTGTGTCAAAATTTGCAGATGACACTAGGGTGAGTGGTAGAGCAAAGTGTGCAGAAGACACTGAAAGTCTGCAGAGGGATACAGATAGTCTAAGTGAGTGGGCAAAGGTCTGGCAGATGGAGTACAATGTTGATAAGTGTGAGGTCATCCATTTTGGTAGGAATAACAGCAAAATGGACTACGTTTTAAATGGTTAAAAAATTGCAGCATGCTGCTGTGCAGAGGGACTTGGGTGCCCTTGTGCATGAATTGCTAAAAGTATGATTGCAGGTGCAGCAGGTAATTAAAAAGGCAAATGGAATTTTGTCTGCCTTTGCTAGAGGGATGGAGTTTAAAAACAGGGAGGCTATGCTCCAGCTGTATAGGGTCCTGGTGAGGCCACACCTGGAGTACTGCGCGCAGTTTTGGTCTCCTTACTTGAAGAGATATACTAGCACTGGAGGGGGTGCAGAGGAGATTCCCTTGGTTGTTTCCAGAGTTGAGAGGGTTGGATTATGAGGAGAGACTGAGTAGACTGGGATTATACTCATTGGAATTCAGAAGAATGAGGGGAGATCTTATTGAAACATATAAGATTATGAAGGGAATAGATAAGGTGGAGGCAAGGAGGTTGTTTCCGCTAGCAGGTGAAACTAGGACTAGAGGGCATCGCCTCAAAATAAAGGGAAGCAGATGTAGGATTGAGGTCAGGAGGAATTTCTTCACCCAAAGGGTTGTGAATCTGTGGAATTCCTTGCCCAGTGAAGCGGTTGAAGCTACCTCGCTGAA